ACCGCGCGGCAGGTGAGGCCCAGCCCCGTGCGCACCCAGAGGCACCCGCACGCCAGTCCTAGCAGAGGGGCGGGGCTGCAGGAGCCCTGGCTTCCGCTCCTACGCCTGTCTGGCTGACACTGCCCACAGAACCCCTCATTTTCCCACTGCATCTGAGGCCCTGGGCACAGGCGAGAGGTCCCACAGTCAAACCCAGGAAGAGCAGGGCCCAGCTGTGGGGAGGAGAGTAGATTCAGAGGGGACAACAGCTGCCCAGTTCTGACACTTGTGGGATGCAGGCTGACCGCCCACCTTGCCCGTTGCTGGAGGTCCCCAGCCCCACATCCCTGGGCACACAGGAAGACCCGGGCCTGGCCCCAGAACAGGAAGAGGCCATGATAGGGCACAGTTATCAGCGCCAAAGAAGGCTTCAGCCCGTGACCGGCACCCACGCCTGCCTACCAGGAAGCTCACTTCTACCCCATCCCCAATGCTGCCCCAGGCTCCCTGGATCTGGTACCCAGACCTTAGGACAGCAGGGTCAAGGCACAGGGCTGGGGCCAACCTGACCCTCAGCTGGTTTGCACCCTTTGGGGACAGTGTAGCCCCTGCCGCCCCTCTTGGAAGCAGCAGGGTTGAGCAGAAGGGCCCAGGCATGGCTTTGCCCCTCTCCTCTGCTGCTCTCGGGACGGACCCTAGCCAGGCTCCCCACCTTCTCTCTGACCAGTCGAGGCTGCCTGTGATGTGGGGTCTCTCCCGTGTGGGGAGCTGGGAGCTGGTGAGGTGGAGACAGGCCTGTTTCAAGTCCTCGTGGTGTCCCAGGGCCTGGCACAGGGCTGGCCCCAGGAAACGTCACGTGACCAGACAAGCCCGGCTCCCCGGTGCTCCTCGAGTCCCGCCTGCACCCCGCGCTCACCCTCATAGGACAGCACGTGGCCCTTCTTGCCCTCGTAGATGACGTGGCCCTTGGGCAGGCCGTCCTCACGGGCCCGGTCCAGGCGGCCAGGGCTGTCCTCCCCCACAATCCTGGTGATGGTGCCCTTGTACAGCACGTCAGCTGGGGTGCCCTGCAGGGAGGACGCTGTGACGCACGGCAAGCAGGCCAGTGCAGCGCACTCCACCCCATACCGCTCTCCCGTCCCCTTTGGGCATGGGGAGGCCTAGGGGCTTCAAACAGGGGCTCCTGGTTCTTGGGGGCCAGAGTGGGGACCCCATCCCCCTGTGGGGCTTTTGGCTGTCAACAGCTCCTGCTAGGTGCCGGGACCACACAGCACACACCTGGTTTCCCCAGACCAGGACCAGCGCCCAGGTTGGGCCAACCCTAAGGCTCAGCCCTGACCATCCTGGCCTGGCACTGGGGCACCCCTGGCCCTCACCCCAGATACTCCAAGCTGCACCACTAGATGCAGCCAAGGCTCCGCACAGCGAGCAGCACACAGTGGAGGGCATAGACGTATGAACGCCAGCCACAGGGGCCTCCTGCCTGGTGACTATAGGGTGGTCCCAGAAAGGCCCTAGAATCTGCCCAAAGGGCAGTTTTCCCCAAGTCCTGGGGTGCCTGCGTCAGGTCACCTCCCCGCCCTGTACCTCCTGGGGCTCCACATGGCCCTGTGATACCGTGCTTAGGGCAGAGCACATGGATATCACACTTGGGGACACTTCAGGGAGCCCCGTCACCGGGAGGGTGCAGGCTGGGAGGGGTGTCCAGTTAGGAAGGGCAGAGGAGAGAGCACCTGTCGCCATCCGAGTCTCACACTCATGTGGCCTCAGGTTCCACTGGTAACGAGCAGGTGTGTGCACGCCCAACATAAGCCTGCCACTGCCACACACCCAGGACTCACCCCCTCCGTCTCTGCTCACTCTACTTCCTGAGCCTCCTGCACCCCGCACCCTCCCTGCTGGCCTAAGGGACTCCAGCACATCGGCAGCCACAGCAGCCCCTCTGCCATCACCCTGCTCTGCTGCACGGTCTGACCCTGCACCCGCCACCCCCGGTACCTACATGAGTGATGGAGCCTCGGTAGGTGCCAGGGCTCTCAGGGGGCACTCGCGTGCTGGGGATGCCCCGGGTGATGCTGCCACTGGGCACGGAGCCCAGAGCCGTCCCTGGAAGACGGGAGATGTGGTTGTGGGGTCTGCGCCCTTCCAGGGCCCTCAGGCCCAAGAGCCACCCGAGATCCCGCTCTGGTCTCACAGGCAGTGGCTAGGAAGGGCAGGGGGGACCACCTGCCCGCGGATGCCTAGATCCCCGGGGAGGCTTCAGGGCAGCGTGGGGCCTCACCTCGTAGCACAGACGTCTCTTGGGCCATAGGCACACCCAGGCTTTCGGGGGGCCCGGCCTGGGCCCGGGGGGACAGCTGCTCCTGCTTCACTCCACTGAAGGGCGCTGGGGGCAGCAGCGAGAGGAGTGAGCCCACACCCCGGCAGGGAGCCTGCCCACCCACCCTAACTGCTGGGGACCCCCAGCTGTACCCGAGTCCACCCCCAACCCCACATGGGCAGCCGGAGCCACAAAGGACCCCGGGTCTGGACTCAGGTCCTCACCCAGCTTCTTGGGGTCCATGCTGAGGGGCAGCCCCATGGTGACGGGGCCCACCGGGGCCTTGGCGTGTTCAGAGTAGGGGACGTGAAGCTGCACCGACATCCCCTGTGGGCAGAGGTGGCTCACAGTCGTGGCCAGCAGGGCCCTACAGGCCTTGCACAGGGCACACCGGCCCAGCCTATGCCACCACCTTGTTCCATGGAGCCCAGGCCGGCGAAGCCACTCTCCTGAGCTGTCCGGCCTGGTCCCACCTCCCCTGGTGACCACGTGCAGCTCAGCAGGTGCAGAGCCCGCAGCCTTCTGGGAGCGGTGGCGCCCACGCCCCTCACCCACTCACCTGGGAGGTGGCCCCCATCTGCCGCTCAAGGACTCCAGGGTGCTTGGTGGAAGAGATGAGGGGTGGCGGGTTGGAGATGGTGGGTGGGCGTGGGGGGCCGGGCCGGGCGCCGTCATGCATGCCCAGGGGCAGCGGGTGGCCTGCAGGACACAGGGCTGTCTGAGGGAACCACACGTCATCGCCCACGGCCACCAGAGGGTACTCTGCATGCATTTTTGCACCCAGCCCTGGTGTCCAAGTCCCCATTCCGACTCCACCTCCTCCTCCCACTCTGCTGCTCAGGCCCTGTGCAGTCCCCCAAACTTGCATCCTTGTTCCCACTTCACCCTCTGGTTGCCGATCTCTTCAGAAGTCTGCAACTCATACCCTTCTTCTGCCGTGAACTATCAATGACTCCCTACTGCCTTTAGGATAGACTGGCCCCAACATGGCTCCACCAAGCCACTGCCATGGCAGTCTGGTTGGGTCCTCAAGCTTTACCCACTCCTTCCTGCCTCTGGGCCTTTGCACGTGCCGTTCCCCTGTTGGGTGTGCCTTTCCTGTCCTCCTCTGGCCTCTCCTCAATCTGGGTCAGCCCTGGCTGAGCCCAGCAGGCCTGGAGAGCCCAGGATGCCCTCAGACCCAGCCTCATGGCACAGGCATCAGGCACCATTGTGCCCTGACTCAGAACTGTATGGGGAGGATCCTAGAGCCGATGGGCCAAATGATCCACTGGGGTGGGGGGATCTGAGGTTTTCAGAAATCTGCAGAGCTAATGGATGTGATGGCAGCGGGGAGCCACAGGAGCACCTGAGCCCAGGGGGAGGCCAGGTGGGCATCTGTCTCGCGAGTGCGGTGGGCAAGGGGACAGCAGGGTTCAGAGGTGTTGTGGGCCTGCGGGTGGTCGTGGAGGAGCCCAGTAGGGCCGAACACTCACCAGAGGACGCGTAGGAGAAGGCAGAGGGGTCCGTGGCATGAGGAGAGGCCTTGATCACCTCGCGCGGGGGCACAGGGAAGGGCAGGCCCACCGGCCAGCAAGGCGGCTCTGCAGGCAGCTTCTGGCCCTCGGCCGTAAAGGCTGGGAAGAACGTGGGCTTCTCTGCTGGGCACATGAAGTGGGTGGGAGGTCAGGTGATGCCTGGCTGCCCCTGGGGACCCCAAAATCCCCAAACCAGGATGGGGTCCAGGCTGCAACCCAGAGGCCTTTGATGGCCTGGACACTGCCCATGTCCCTGAGATGCTGTGAGTAACACAGGGACTGACATGAGTCTCGGGCCAGGCTGGGGCTCTCAGTCACCCTGAGCTCAAGGACCAGAGGTGTAGACTCGATACTGTCAGCGTGCAGGCGTATCGGAGCCGGAGCCCCATCGGCTCTCTGGTGCCACCAAAGCATGGGCTTGCCCACGCCCCACCGCCTCCGGGAAAGGACCACCGTGCCCGTCTGACACACAGAAGCTGAGCAGGTCCAGCCAGCAGCCCAGGTCAGACTGCACTGCCATGGGAAGGGCAAGGGAATGACAGCCCTGGCCCTCGGGCCTGGGGTGTCCCATGCCATTTGCGGCTAACCACCCCCACTGGACTGCCCAGGAGGGCCAACACTGGGGAGGAGCCGGTTGTGAGGCAGGCACAGACACCAAAGGCCCCTGTGGGATAGGCAGGAGAGCACGTAGATCCAGTGGCAAGGCCTGCATGGCACAGCCTTAAGCAGGAGCCTGAGCTGCCCCTGAGCTTGTGCCAGGGGTGGCAGGTGTGGGGATCCTCGCCAGCCCCCAAGGGAAGTGGCATACTGCAAAGTCTGGCTGCTCTGGTGCCCGCCCTGTGTGCCCAGGCATGGTCTCGGTGCAGGGCCAGGCCCGGCAGGCAGCTGGGAAAACGACGGACAGCTTGTTTCTTCGGCAGGGCCAGAGGAGCCCGAGAGACTAGCATGGCAGGGCTGGGGCACATGGGAGCAAGGTGGGCTCTCGCTGAAAGCGGAGAGGCAGCACTGGACATCAGATTCACGCCCCCTGGGGGCCGGCACAAAGCAGGCCATGTGACTAAGGCTCTGGTGCCTAAAGCCAGGTGCACAGGTCCCGAGGCAGCGAGTCCAGGAAATGGTGTGGACCCAGCCCCACCAAGATGCTGGCCCCGCACCAGCATAGAAACCGTGGGCTGGCAGCTCATGCTCCCTGAGGGCGGCTGGCCCTGCAGACGCTGGCTGGCCCTGGCTGGGTGTGGACACGACACCCCACCTCCCACTGTTCTGCAGTACCCTCTGAGCCCTTATCCCCCCTCGCCAGATGGCAGCCCAGAGGCCGCCCCTCAGGAATGAACTCTGAATCCATCCCCTCCTCCCACCTCCATGGCCACCTGTGAAGTCCTGGTTGCCTCTGCCGCTGCCCGGGAAATAGTGCCGGGCCTTCTGTTCCCATACTCCAGCCCCCGCGGTCCTCTCACTTTGACAGGAACCAGAGAGGTTTCTGAGACACAGATCGATTGCGCGCGCGCGCGCGCACACACACACACACACACACACACACACACACACACACACACACACACACACACACACACACACACACACACACAAAAGCCTCCCAGCAGCGTCCTCTTCTCCTGACCCAAAACCCTCTCTCCTACAGCCTGTGAGGCCCTGCACCATCAGGTCACATTTCCTTCTTTGACCTCTGCCATCCTCTCTCAGCCACCACACTGCCTGGCTCCTCCCCATAACCCAAGCAATCTCTACCCCAGGGCCTCTGCACATGCTGTGCCTGCTACATGGAGCACTAGCTACATTCTTCCCATGCTTCCTGCCCTGCCCAAACCCCCTGTGCCTGCCACTGCCCAGGGGCTGAATCCCCACTGCCCAGGTAGGGCTGGGCAGGGTGTCCTGGTCCAGTGGCCGCGGGCTACCCTGGGTGTCAGACAAGTGCCTGCGTGGAAGGCCTCAGGCCAGCAGCCGGCAAGGAGCCAGTTTGGGGACAGCTCTGCTCTGTCCTGGAACAAGCATTCGACTGCTGCAGCCCAGGAGATCCTGCTTCCTTGGATGCTTGCAGCAGCTGGCAGGAGCCTGGGGAGCTCCGGTGGGGACACCGTGTGCCAACAGCACCGGCCATGTGCCAGGCTGAGCCGGGCAGGTGGCTACTGGGGACACAGGCTTGATGACTTGGGACCAGACAGGGGCCAGGACCCGGGCAGAACTTCACCAGAGGCCACAGGACACCAGACGCCAGCCCAGGGCGCACCGCGTCTCTGCCTGCCCCACCCGGCTCAGACTGACGACGGCCGATGCCCCTAACCCACTCACGTACCTTCCTTCTCGCCGGGGGGTGCGGGGCTCCTGCTTTTGCCCCGTGGGCTGCTGCCAAGCTGCTGGGAGGCGTCGCCCTCGGACTGCAGGTGCTGCGGGGGTGGCGGGGCAGCGGGAGCCAGCTGAGGGGCTGCCGCATCCTCCCGGGGGGGTTCGTGGGCCTTGGCAACCTGTTGGAGGGAGCCGGCGTAGATGGCACCCAGGGCCACAGACGTCAGCTCGTGGCCCGGGTTCACCAGTGGGGCCAGGGGTCTTGGCACAGGGAAGTCGCCCATCTCAGAAACGGGCCCATCCTAGCTGCCCTGCTCCGGCCTTGCACCCCAAATTCCTTGGAGGACTCAGAACTGCTGGGCTCCTGGAAGGCGCCCCTTGAGGGTCCCCCATAGGGCCCAGGATCAGAACTGGGAGATCCCACACGTATCTGGCCTAAGGGACTACTGGGGGTGTAGAGATGAGAAGACCCCACACCCCTCTCCCTTCGCTTCCTTCCCTGCCCCACCCCGCCTGTCTCCATGGAGACTTGTGCAGGAAGCAAATGCAGGAGCACAGAGCAGCCATAGGTACAGACCCCAGTCCACCCCTACACCCCAACACTCACGATGGGCGGGATGGCAGCTGCACGCTGCTTCAGCTGCTTCAGGTCCAATGGTTTCTGGGGTGAAGCACTGGCCCTGGGGTCACCAGCTGGGGTGAGGAGGCTCGGCCTAGGGGACAGCAGCCTGTGGCAGGGAGAGGCACGTCAGGCCAGGCCCCGCCTTTGGCAGATTCAGGTCATGAGCAGGACGCCCTGGGGCGGGGCCCAGCCCGTCACCCTGGCCCTGGATTGGCGCTGGCCAGAGAAGCCCTGACAGCAGGGGTGAGCGTCCAGGGGCCCCCCAGCCAACGCTGAGGAACGGACTGGGAAGAGCAGAGTCCTTTTCCAGGCCACGCAGGCCCCGCCAGGGCCAAGATGGTCTCCAACCCAGCCAGAGGCCCGGAAGCCAGGCATGGCCGGAGGCCCAGGCCAGGATCCAAAGTCCCCAGATGGCTGCGGGCGAGGAAAATCCCGGAGAAGCCAGAGTCGGCGCCGACGCCACAGGCCTCCAGGAGCAGACCGACTGCTGAAGACTCAACCAGACGGTGGTGGAGGGGAGATTCTGGGGAGACTCGTTACCCCAACATCCAGCTCGGGGCCAGGGCAGGGCTGTGGGCACGCAGCCAACTCAACTCTGCCAGGGGGAAGAGGCGGTAGGGAGCCGCACCCTGGGCCGGACTCTCTTGTCCTTGTGCCCCATGTGAGACAGAAGCAGAGGGCCACAGATTTCCTATGGCCTGGCGGGTGCGACGGGCACGCCAGCCACCAATCACAGAGACAGCACCGCTCCCTGCCACCAAGAGCCCCCACCCCGGGCTGCAGGGGCTGCCACCTTCAGGAAACAGATTTCCAGGAAGTCTCCAAGCAGGCACAGCACCTCTACCAGGGGACCCCGGACCTGGCCTCTGCCCCAGGCCCTGAGAGTCGGCTCAGAGACAAATGCCGGCCAGGAGAGCAGCCTGGAACCCGACCAGCGGGCACAGCCAAGGGAGGCATTGACCACACACACGGCAGCCACAGACACTGCCTCTGGGGCAGCCATGGCTACCTCCCGGAGGATGCGCAGGGCTGACGCAGGGTCTGCAGAGCCCTGCAGGCGCCCATCCTCCTCCCTGCCGTGGCAGGACCGCAGCATGTGACCGGCCACTACTGCGGGTCCCAGCCCCTCACCCACACCTGCCACATCCCAGCCAAGCGGGAGCCACAGGCTGCCCTCGGCCTGCAGGTGGGGTCGGATGAAGGAAGGTCACCCTGCCCCGCCAGCCTGCGCCACTGCTTCGCTCCTCCTTTCCACTGCTGTCCAGACTCGGCTCTGCCAGGAGCACCCCGGGCCCGCCCGGCCTCACGCTGTGCCTCTGGCTCTCTAGCCCCCAGCTCCACTTGCCTCCCTGGGGCCAAATGCCCCAAGCCAGGGCCACTGGAGACGCCACCTGTCCTGGACCACGCGGCATACTCCGCAGGCACTGCAGCCCTGGCTCCTGCAGCCTGGCCGGAAGACAGCCCCCAGCTCCTCAAACCTGACCCGCAGGCGCCCTCCAGCCTGGGGTGGTTCCGAGGGTGGGCGCATGCCAGGCCAGCCCCGCAAACTGCCACTGACCCAACTTTGCAGCCCGATGGGATCTGAGCAAGAGAGCCACAGGCCAAGCTCTCTGATGAGTATGGACACAAAAATCTCCCATAAGGTACAGTAAACAGCGCCGCAAATCATCAACAAGATCATAAGTCAGGACCAAGCGGCTCCGTCCCAGGGATGCAGGTGGCTCAGCACACGCAAATCAATACACATGTGACAAGACTCACACAACCATCTCATAGACACGGAAAGAACCTCTGACAAAACCAGCATGCGCTGTGATTAAAACAAAACACTGAAGAAAATAGGTACACAAGGACCTTATCTCAATCTGGTAAAAGCCATTTATGACCAATCTACTGACATCATATTAAACAAGGAAAACTGTAACCCTTCCCCTTCAACTCAGAGGCAAGTCAAAAGATGCCCACTATCTCCACTCCTGTTCACCACCACATGAGATATCAGTCAGAGCAACTAGGCAAAGAAGAAATACAAGGCGTGAGCACAGGAAAGGAAGGAAGTGGGGTCACCGTTACTTGCAGGTGACGTGATCCTTTACACAGAAGACCCAAAAAGTGCACCAAAGACTCACAGAATTAATACCAACTGAGCAATGAGTGAGCAACAGACTAAGATACAAAACTCCACACACAACAGTCACAGCATTCTTGTACACCGATGAACCTACAGAGGAAGAGGAAATTGGGCAAATGCCACTCACAGCAGCACCAAGAAAAATGAGATACTCCACTAACCTGAGGAAGTAAAAGACCTCAACAATGAAAACCACAGTACTAGGAAAAAGAGCAAAGGAGGAGGCATCACAATCCTGGAGTCATATTATAAAGCTACAGTGATTAAAACAGCATGGCACTGGCACAAAAACAGACCTGGGGATCAGTGGAACAGAACGGAAGATGCAGAAACAACCCCAAGCACATTCAACTCTCTGATCTTTGACAAAGGGGCCAAAAAACACACAGCGGAGGGCAGACAGCCCCTTTAATAAATGGTGCTGGGGAAACTGGCTGTCCATGTGCCGAAGAGGGGGGTGAGTCCAGACCCATGTCTCTCACCACGCACTAAAGTAAAATCAAAACAGACCAAAGATCTCAACGTTAAAACAGAAACATTCAACCCGCAGAAGTCAAACACACGACAGGTGAAACACCCAATGCCACGGGTGGAGGACAGGACTTTCTGAAAAGAGCCCAGTTGCTCAGGAAATAGCACCAAGAATCAACAAATGAGATCACAGCAAATTAAAAAGCTTCTGCACAGAAAATGAACAGCCAACAGAATGAAGAGACAATCCATAGAACAGGGCAAAAAACTGCCAGCTACTCCTCACATCAAGAATATAAAAGGAACTGAAAAAAATCAGGCCCCTCCAAAATAAAGACCTAATCAAAAAATGGGCAAGAGAAACGAACAGATGCTTTACAGACATAGTATAAATGGCCAATAAACACATGAAAAAATGCTGCACATCACCGGCCCTTAGAGAAATGCACAATAAACACTGCGATTCCACCTCACTGTAGAAAGAATGGCCATCACCAAATAACGACAAATCTAATAACAAATGCTGGTGAGGCTGTGGGGCAAACGGATTCCTCCTGCACTGTTCGTGGGAAGGTGAGGTAGGACAACCATGAGGAAAACAGGGCGGGGAGTCCTCTAAAAACTAAAACTAGATCCCCTCTGACCCAGCTATTCCCCTCCCCGTATCTTCCTGGAAGAGTCCAAGATGTTGTATTACAGGGCCACACGCACACCTACGTTTATGAAAACAACTCTCATAGCTAAATCTTGGAAGCAGTCTTTATAGCCATAAATCAGCAGATGAACAGATAAAACAATCAGGTATTTACACACCACAGAGAACTACTGTGCCATAAGGGAGGGTAGACTCGAGTCATCTGCAGGGGAATGGGTGCACCTTGGGAGCACAATGTTAAGTGAAATAAATCAGAGACGTGAGCTGAAATGTCACACGGTTTCTCTTATATGAGAAACCCAAAGTATAAACAAAGAGCAAAATAAAAGGCAGGTGACAGGGAGTAAGGAGACAGAGCTTCACCAAGCGGGCAGGGGACGGAGAGGTGGAGTGGGGAGAGGGGAAGTGGACAGAAGCAAGGCTGCTATGCACATGGGCCAACTCCCCGCAACGGGATCACCCGACTGTGCAAACGCGGACTTTTAAAAATAAATAAAATAATGGGAAAAAGGTTTTAAAGAGAGTCGGAGGCCTGGGGCTCCCCCCGCTGTGCCCGCAGAAGGAAACAAGGAAGGCGGCACTGAGGCGGCCGGGCAACCCAGGGACCACGGCAGGCCACGTCCCGCACTGCTCACAGCCCAGGAGCAGCGGGGAGAGGTGCAGCCAGCACCCCAGGGGCAGTAAAGACGGGAACACGCCCTACTTCCTACACAGAGGCGCAGAGGCCTGAGAGACAAACTCCAAGCTGAGATTCAAACTTGTGTCTGCCTGTAAATGCACCTCTACAGAGATTGCAAGTCTATTTTTATAGCACATTCTGCCCCACGCCGACTGGGGCCTGAGTGCTCTCTCTTGCCTCAGTTTCACCGGGGCTTCTTCCCCAAGCAGAGACTGCCTGTAACACACCAGCACCAGCCACTCAGAGCCGGGGTCCCTCTATCTGTCTGAGACAAGGTCTTATTCTACCCCAGCCCAACTTCAAACTTGCTGTAGGGTTCGGGATGACTTGGATATAGAAATCCTCCTGCCTCAGACTCCTGAGGGCTGGCATGGCAGTCGTGTACCACTGTGCCTGACTAGACCTCTTTCTCGTGAGCGCCTCCACAGTGGGGCAGGAACGCGAGGGTATAGGAGGGGTATAGAGGGCCTCCAGTCTCTCCAGGGTGAGTGGGGAAAGCATCTACCACAGGATTCTGGTTGCAAAGCCCAGGCCTGCGGGGCTGAAGTCCCAGGTGGCACAGCTGCCGATGGAGGCCAAGAGGGCAGGAGGCTGGCACTCAGAGCCTCACCTCTTCAGGTGGGGACTGGCTTCCTCGGAGCCCCTGGCTGGCCCACCTGCTCGCTCCTGCCCTCGCCTTTGTTCTCCGGAAGACAGAGCTTTTATCTCCTCTCTGGAGGATGGAGGGGAGGGGCTGGCGGGGCCTGGCACGGTGCCCTGGCAGAGCAGAGTGGCTGGGCCGCCACCCACCCGTGCTGCAGATTCACCTCCCTGCTAAGTGTGCCTCACTTTCCTCCTTGAGAAAGGAAGGAGGCTGCCACCGTGGGGAGGGCACCCTGGCCAGCAGATCCCCTCGGGCCCCCATGCACCTGGCCGGGGCTGGCATCCACAGCTGTAACTCAGCTCTGCAGGCACCAAACCTGCAGGGGACCTCTCCCAGCTTGCTGATCGGAAACTGAGGCGGGAAGGGACTTTCTCAAGGCCACCTGCTGGGAGGCACTGACGCGCCCTACTCTGGGAGATGGTACGGGCCAGGCAGGCGGCCAGGGACCTGAATCAAGGCCTCTACCTCTGGGGGGGGGCGAGGGTGGTCCTCTCTCCACAGTGGTGGGTGGCGACAAGCTCACAGAGTTCACTGGGCTGGGGCAGTGGGCGGGTGGCCAGGCCCTGGGGCTGTGGGGCCCACCCGTCCCAGGGGCTCTCTGATGCCCTGAGTCCAGACACCGCCTGGCCATGGGCAGTCCTGGTCGGTGCAGAGGGGCAGGCTGTCTGCCAGGAAGAGGTCAGCCCGAGTCCAGCCCTGCTGCCCGAGAGGATGAAGCGGCCCAAGGCGGGGACTGGCCCAGTCAGGCGGGGCGTGGCCGCCAGGTGTCTTGACTCCCAGCCCAGGGCTGTCCCCTGGGGGCAGAGCTGGACATCAGGACAGGGTGGACGCATGCCAGACCCAGCTGGGAGGAAGGACACATCCCTGGCTGGGGTGCAGGGGAGAGGGTAGAGGCTGTGAGCACCAGGCCTGGCCAGAGGGGCCCCAGATTCCAGGCAGCACCCGCTCTCTCCAGCCCCGCAGGCTGCGAGTGTCCCAAGCATGACCTCACCCATCGGCACAGCACCTGTGAGCTCCGAATGCTTCCCACTGGGCACCAACGTGGGCCCAAGGTCCCCGGCCAGGAGAGGTGGGGTAGTTCCCCTGCCACATGCCCCAACCTCTGCATCCCGAGGGCCACAGGCCAGGGGTCCCACAGGTGGCCGTCCCCAGGGACGTGGGGCAGGGCCATGTGGGTCACTTCTCGAGAGGAACGCGGGCCCCAGGGCGCTCTGGACCTTGTGCACCTAGGACCTCCCCCTTCAGCGTGGCCCCAGGCGGACACAAGGGCTTCGCCCAGAGAGAAAACAGAGCACACTGTTTACAGTCAAAAGAAGGGGACAGCCTGCTTCTGGAAAAGAGCCCACCTCATCCAGATGGGAGCGGGTGGCCTCAGCTCTCCCTGGAGCACCTCATGGCCGCTGAGTCAGGCGCCCCGGGTCTGCACCAGGCCTTGGGCTTTTGGAGCATCCGAGAGGAAAACAGTTAAAATCTGGAGGCCCCCACATTGAGCATAGACGGGAGCAAAGGGACAAACCCCAAACAGGCTGGCACGGGGTCCTTCCAGGTCACCCCCGGCCTCTCAGATCAGCAGCTTCCACTGTGCCCAGTGCCACCAATGGTTGGGCATCTCCATCGCCATCCTGGGCACAACTGTGGTCACCTCCTGCCTGCACCTCTGCCCCAGCCAGCATCTCAGGGGCCCCAAGGGTTCCTGCTGCCCTGGGTAGGACCTGCAGCTCCGAGAGCCAGGCACGGCCGGCTGGATGTCTGCACCCGCCACAACTGCAGTAGCGTAGAGCAGCACGGGGCCTTTTCACCCAGGCCAGGGGGCACAGGGCCCATGACGGTGATCGTACAGGAAGGAAGTCCAGGCAGGCACGGGGAGAGGACGCCACTGCCACGGGGGGCTGGTTCCTTCCGGGCTTCCGTGGGCCTGGGTGTCCGGGTCCAGATCCCAGGCTATTCGGCGGCACCAGGCTGCGAACCGGGCTGCTGCCAGACCGCACTCACCTGCTTTTGTCACCTCCCTCTGGCTCGTCGACCTCATCGGCGCTGCAAGTGGCGCTGGAGTCGCTGTCCTGGGGGGTGCCCGAGCCCTTGGGGGCAGGGGCTTTGCCCACGGTGCTCTCCTTCTTCTCGGCCTTGAGCAGGCCCTCGGGCGTCCCCTCAGCGTTGTCCACTGTGTCCGCATCCTGGGTGCCCTCGCTCTTGGCCAGCTCCTCGGGGGTGGCCCCAGACTCCTCCATCTTCACAGGGTCCTCGGCCAGCTCCCCAGCCGTGGGCTTCTGCTCCTCCCCATCCTCAGCTAGGGGCATCGTGACTGCCACGGCCTCCTCCTCCTCCTTGGGGACCAGAGGGGAAGCAGATGCAGCAGGCGACGAGGGGGCCGCTGGGGATGTGGGGGCGCCGCTGGCCTCAGGGCCCAGGGCAGACTCCGCAGGGGCAGGGGGATCCTCTGGCGGTGGTGTGCGCGGTGGGGCGGGAGGTCCGTCGGGGCCCGGGGCAGGCAGGGTCTTGGGTCCACTGGGCCCCGGCTCCTTGGCAGCATCAGCGGCCCGTGGGGAGGGGACACTCTCTGTGTCCGAGCTGTGGTTGACAGTGGCTGTGCAGGATGAGAGACAGAGGTGAGAAATGCAAACACTCCCAAAGGAGCCCGACATCCTCACGCCTGACGCCTGTCCTGATGGCCCCAGGGTGACTTCCGGGACAGCAGCTGGCAGGTGCCCATGGCCACACCCTCTTCCAGGGGTCCCCACTCCCTGGGCCTCGCCCTAGGACTGGCTGGAAGGGCCACGCACAGAGGGACACAAAGGCCATTCTTGGCCTCAGTTTCCCCATCTACAGAGCAGAGAGAACCCTGGTCCTGCCTTGCAGGGTGGAGGCAGGGAGCCGACAGCACGGGGCCCTTGTGCCACCATCGACACCACAAGGACCCCGCCCGCCGCACCCCTGCTGGGCTTCAGGGATTCAAGTCCCGGCCAGGGCAAGGATACCCGGCTCCACCCCTAAAGCCCACTGTGGCCTCGTCTCGGGGTTTAGTGTGCTCCAGTCTGAGATGACCAGGGTCACCAGGCACGGGCAGTGCAGCGAGACACAGGACAAACCCCAGATGGTGCAGGCAGTAGGTGCAGAGGCAGCTCCCACAGGCAGGGCTGCTCCCTGGAGGGGCTGCCGCTGAAGACCCCGCCCTCAGGCCAGCCTTCCCGCCCCAGCCAGATCCCTACCTGGGCCACTGCATTCCCCTCTGGGGACCTCGTTCCCGGGGGCCGGCAAGGCTGGAAGGAAGTTACAGCAGAGTCAGAGGCCACGGGGCAGCAAGCAACACGGAGCGGGACCCGGAGGAGGGCCGAGCAGGCAGGCGCCAGGAGGACAGTCCTCAACCCGCTTGCAGACGAGCAAACAGGTGTGGGGGCTCAGGGGCGCCCAAGACCTCCCAGCAAGGGCACAGAAACGTCGACCCTGGGAGTCCTTGTCCCTGGTGCTGGCCACCCCACTCCGCAGGTGATAGCCATGCTGCTGCTGGGTGGGGTCCAGGCCCCGTGGGTGGTGGTCGCTCTCAGGAGGCCCTCGGGGCACCCAGTGGGCGGTTCCAACTCTGGGACACGGCCCCACCCCTGAACAGAGAGTAGGGGAGGGCAGAGGGTGAGGACCACTTGTGCCAGGTGTGCCCAGGCCCTGGCAAAGGGCTGCGCACAGCAGGCACCGGAAACCCTGCAAGGACAAAAGGAAGGCAGAGGTCTCACGGGCTGCGTCTGCCCTGATGTGTGGCAGCCACAGGCTCTGGCCCGTTGGCCTCGTCCCAAGGAGGGACCCCACGTGACGGCCAGCGGGCTGGGCCTCTCCATCCCCGGCTGTGCCCACACTGTGACCCCACTGCCACGGCCATTCTCCTGTCCCAGCCTCCATTTCTTCATCCTGATGGGCACAGCAGGCTCAGCTGTGAGGCCAGCCCGGCCGCCACCTCCTCCCCAGTGCGACCCCAGGTAGCCGGGAGCTCACTACTGCCCGCTCCTGCCTCCACCCTGTGCCTGACACAAACCCGGGTCACACGCAGGGGACACACTCGCCCTGGCTCCTCATTCCTGCCAGATACAAGGCCTGTGGGGATCCCTTCGCCTGGCCCAGTCGCGGCAGGAGACCCACAGCAGGGTCATCGGCTGCAGACACGGCCGTGACTCGGGCCATGGCAGCTGGGGACCGACCATCCACCTGCCCTGGAAATAGGGACTGGGCTGCACATGGCCAGGCCCTCCGTGTCCCTTCACCACACGCAGAGCCCAGAGGCAGGGACAACCTCGGCTTCCTGGGGACAGGGTGGAATAAGGTGACTGGAGTGGTCACTTAGAAGGCTGAGACAGGGGGATCCTAAGTTCAAGCCAGCCTGGGTAATTTAGTAAAAACCTGTCTCAAAATAAAAAAAGAGCTGGAAATGTTGCTCAAGAGTGAAGGCCTGGGTTCTAACCTCAGCGCCACAAGAGACCAGGTATCAACAAGGCTGTCCAAGGTGCTATGGTCACTGGTGTGGGGGCTCAGGACAGTGTAGGCCCAACTTCCCCTGGAGAGGCTGACCTCAACTCCCGTTGTGGCTGCCACTGCCCTCCTCATTCACACAGGTGAGGCTCTCTCGGCGAGGGGAGGCCCAGGTGTGTTGGGGAACAGAGCTAAGAGGTCACCTCCCATCCTCTCGCAGCCCAGCGGCTGCTCCGGCACCTGCCCTCACCTTCCACCTCCTCAGCCATCTCCTCCTCGTTCCCGCTGGCACCCGACGCCTCCATCTCCTCGTCTTCCACCACGGGTGGGAAGGCGGCCTCCTCACTGGCTGTAGCTGGCGCTTTCTTCTTCTTCCTCCGTGCGTTCCTCTCCTTCTCCTGGGCACAGGATAGCAGGGGTGAGTGCAGGGTCTGGCTGCCTGCCCGGGGACACCCCACACCTCAGCCAGGCCTCAGTGGCCAAGCACACAGATAGCTGTTTTTACCCAGGACTTCATTCTCTGCCATGTCCTGGACATGCTCTGGGCCCAGCCTGGCTGCCTCAACATCCTGGAGGCCGAGAGTGCCCCTGCCCCAACGCTCCATCAGCCCGTACCCCTCACCGAGCTATCCAAGGCCTGACAGTCCTCAGAGAGGTCGCCAGGGGGACAGGACTGTCAGAGGGCTGGTGGCGTGGAACTGTGCGTGCGAAGGCCCTGCGGTGTCAGCAACAGAGACCCACAGAGCAAAGCCTTCCATTCAGACTGCGCTCTCTCCCCCAGCCCCACCCCAGCCGAGGCGCACAGGTTTGCTGAGCACCTCCCAGGCTCTGAAGCAGCAGGTGAGGCAGTGCGCCGGGGTCAGCGGGGGACCAGGGTTCGCTTCGGCGAGCTAAGCCCCGGCATAGTGCCCACCCCAGCCTGGTCCAGAAAGGAGAAGGGGGCCCCGAGATGCCTGGGTGCCGACAGCCCTGCTAAACCCAATCATGGAATAATCCCAATTGTCAGGTGGGATATCTGACTGAACCCCGAGATGCCTAAGGGCACCCCAGTCCTAGGTCCCTGCAGGTGGGGACCCTGCCTGTCCAGGCACAGAAGACTGCAGCTGTCAGTTCCAAAGGGCGCACTGTGGGCTCCCACCTTCCTGATCTACTTTAAAAGCAGACAAGGCCTTGGAGAGCTCAGTGGGCGATCCTGCACAAGCACCCACTGTGCCATTCATTTCCAGGTATTCAATTGGGACACCTCACTCTGCAAATGAGGGGTCACCCAAGAACCTGGAAAGAGCCCCCAAGCCCCCATCCACACGGCCAGCATGCTGGCGATCTGGGTCCCACCTCCTCCCCAAGACACCCTCTGCCCCACTGCCCTGTCTGCTTGGTGTGGCCACCACAGGGCCTTTGCACAGCTGCTCCCCTGCCCCCTCATCCATCCTTGGCATCTTCCCTGAGCTCCATCTGAACCAGCAAAGCTCCTCCCTCTGGATCATTTCCCACACATCTGATCTGGGCAGCCTCACCTCCCACACTGGGACGGGGGTCAGCGCCTGTCTGTTCTCGGTGGTGTCCCGACCACAGTGGGAGCCCTGCCCAACAGGGGAGGCACTCATAGGCGGCCTCAACCTCCCAGGCAGGGACAATGGCTCAGAGATGCAGAGCCACCTCCTACAGACCCACAGCACAGGTGTGGGGGTCCCCCACGCCTGGGCTGCAGATGTGAGGGGAAAGGTTGGGCACTGGTGCCCAGGGTATGTGAACCGGCTTGTTCTGCCACCCTTAACCGCTTCCTGCTGAGGCCAGGCTGGGGTGAGGCAGGCGGGGACAGCACTGACCCTGTCGTCCCCCTTCCTGCACAGCTGGAGGGTGGCCGCCAGGGCTTCAGGGTGCCAGGACCTGGCCTCCCACCCATGGCCCTGAGTTCGGGGCTTCTCTTCCGCCTGCCTGTAAGCCAGGTCACCCCGCAGCCCAGTGGGATCCGACTTAGCGCCCCAGTCCTGGCCTCTGCTCCCCATTTCTCTCTGGCATTCAGCGGGCAAGACTCCAACTCACAGCCGCAGATGGCACCCTGGTCTCTGTCCCTCCTGGCCACATTGCCCCTGGGCTTCCGGCCACACAGCCACCTGAGAGCTTAGGTGGGGAACAGGGTGCCCTCCTGACCAGCCTGGCGTGTCCACTTGGACTGAAACCCATGTGAGGGCGACTGTCAGCTGAGCCCCAGTGGGTGACCCCTGCACTCTAACGCCTGCCATGGCTCCCAAGATCCAGGTCAGCAATGCTCAGCAGAACCCCCTACGCCTCTGCCCGCTACACACACGGCCCTGCCCTGAAGCACAGCAAGACTGCAGGAGAATTGGGGGTGCACCTCCGCCTGAAGGGATGAGCAAGCGCAGGAAAGAAGGAGCCAGGGCACCAGCCTGCCTGTCTGCGTTGGGCTGCCGCAGGCATTGCTGTGGTTCACGCTGTAGGGCTGGCGATGAGCTGCCTCTTCTGTAGACCTCATGCACAATGGCCCAGCATGGTGGGTGCTAATGCTACCCCCACTTCACAGGTGGAGAAACTGAGGCACGGGGTGGCCAAGTCCATATCCTCACCCATGTGGCTGTTGTTACACACAGCTGTGGTTGGGCCTGCCACACTCCGGGAACAAGGAGGGAGCTCTGAACTATGAAGGAGCCAGGCACGGGGCGGTGGGCAGTGACCCCACGCATGCCCCAGTCCCTTCCTCACGTGGCCTTGCATGGCTAAGTCTACTGCTCTTTTACTCAGGTGGAGAAACCGAGGCAGGCAGATGCCACTGCCAGAGTCACACAGACACGGAACTAGCAGGCTGAGACCCTCCCTCCAGAAAGCTGGTGAGGGGCTGCGGGGAGACGGGCAGGAGGACTTGTGTGCCTGGGGACATGGAGCCTGGTCCCCTCCCCTGCCCGCCCTGTGCACCGAGCCACACCCACACCCGGGAAACCCAGGCCACATGGGATCAAGTGGGGCGGGACCTGTGCAGCCAGACACACGCAGGGCCGGGAGGGGGTCCTTGAGCGCCCGTGGAGCGGTGGCCACACGTGCTGTGACGCGCACACTGCCCTGGCCTTGACAGCTGCGTGGGGCGGGGGCAGCACTGCACTACTTTCGGCCAGGGACGATGTGGGCGCAGGCAGTCTGAAGGGTAGCTAAGGGTTCACTCAGGAGCCTGGCAGAGCCTCAGTTTCTCAGAGGAGACAAGACAGGGAAGGGGAGATGGGGACAGCAGGCAGTAGCAGGGCCTCCCTGCTAGCCCCCGGCCCCAGAGCAGCTGCGGAGGAAGCGGGTGAGGCCCGCTGCCCCCCAGATCCCCAGATCCGTCCCTCCCGCTGCAGCCCCATCCCGTGAGGCGGGCGGGGAGCTTCGTGCTCCTCTGCCCGCGTCTTCATTCCAAGGCGCTGACGCCGGGATTCCTGGCTGAGTCACAGCCGGGCCCACCAGGACCTGAGCTGCCGGTGCTGAGGGCAGGCAGGCGTGGGGGGCCAGGAGGGAGGAGACGGCGGCCAGGGGCAACCGGTGCAGAGCCTGGAGTGGGGAGGCGGCCGGCCCGGACTCACCATCTTCAGCTTGTGCTGCCGCAGGATGTCGTCCAGGTTCTGCCGCTTCTTGTAGTTGAAGTAAAAGTTCTTACACTGCGACACGGTCTTGGAGCCCACCATGCGGGCGATGGCTGACCAGTTCCGGCCGTGCTCCAGGAGGCCTGCAGGCGGCAGTGGAGGCGGCAGTGAGGGCATGGGTGAGGCCAGGCCCCAGAGGGCTACCGAGGAAGCAGTGCTGGGCCCCCAGCCCCAGAACAGACAGGGCGACTGGCAGAGGGACCCGACCAGGCCACGTCTGGCTATGGACACACTGGCCTCCCTCTGCCAGCGTGAGAGCTGCTGACCGGCCCCAATGCAGGTGCAGCTGCGCAGACCCTAGAGATGC